AAAAACGAAAAAAAAAAAAAAAAAAAAAAAAAAAAAAAAAAAAAAAAAAAAAAAAAAAAGAACGTGAACACTAGCAAAATATCGCGCCTCTTTTTTATATAAAAATAAAAAATAAACTCATGAGGCGTGTATGTGATATTTTGACGGATATGCATTTACAGATTTCGCGACTCTCCGAATACACAAGCTCAATATTAAATTGTGTATGACTTTCTCGCGGGACCGCGACGATCCGTTCGTATATTCGTTTACAGACTAAGCAATGGCGACAATAATAAGAGCAATAAGAAAATCGTTTGTGTCAAGCTGTGTTAAGCAGAAAAAAATAGAGAACTATAAGACACAAGTTGTACTGGAGTATTGTCGTTGTATCGATACGGATCTTATAAGACAATTCCCTAATCAAATCAGTTTCCTTTATAAATATTAATACGCATTTATAAAAATCTTCCTACATGCTGCATTCTTTTCAGACATTACGCTCTACTAATGTATATCTATATATAACGCCGTTAAACCTACGCAAAGTTATTCCCGATCAATCTTTACTTAATCACGCGACATCTCAACACACGCCTTGTTATTGTACAATAAATCATATATCGATTTAATATGGAGCCTGCGTGTTTTACCTGGGATTTTTCTGCGGGCAGGCTAACTGCGACGCAACAAACGTAACGGCGGCCTCGATTATACTTGCGCACGTAATTCAAAACTGATGCGAAAAATATAGACGGAGAATCGGAAGATACTGGTTTCTATCCGACTGGTATTTTATCGTATCTCGCGCATCGATCATGTCATGGAAACAGCATGAATCGCTCGCGAAACGCAACGCGACATCGCCACGGACTCACGCAAAAGTCGCTGCTAAACTATTCAGTAAATTTTGGGTGCCGAGCGATCGTTGATCGGACCGCTGGTTTTCCTCAACGAGGTACCCCGTCTAATCTGATCCATGAGGGAATCTCTTACTTGCAAGGGATCCATGATGGGCACGCGATTACCCATGATGCGCCTGACACTTGCGGATCTGCTCGTTCCGTTGTTGCCCTGTTGTAAAACTTGTTGTTGTTGCGCTAATTTAGCGTTCAGCGTCTCGAGAAAACCGGGAGCAGCTGTCTTGACATTCTTGTTGGACTGCTGTTGTTGTTGTTGCTGTTGTTGCTGCTGCTGCTGCTGTTGTTCCGAGAGCGACTGTTTCCTTAGAGATTTCGGGCTACCACTCGCGTTTACACCTGCCGTAGTATTACTACCCATGGTACCAATGAGTTTAGCGTTGAGTACTGCCATGAAACCTTGACCCACGCCGCCTGGTCCCTGCCCCTGGCTCACAGCTTGACCAACTTGGCTAGCGGCAGTACCACCGATTATGTTAGTCGTTTGCGCGCCAACAGATCCGCGTTCTTGGGATGTAGACCGGACAGCCGAGCAGGAACGTTCCACCGATGAACGAGTTATTTGTAGCACAGTATTATGTTGGACGATATTTGAAGGATTATTATGCGCTTGTTGCTGTCCGGTAGCCTTCCGTAAGAGTGACGGACTGGCCGGTGTATGTCGAAGCTCGGTCAGAGTCCTTACTGTCTCGGAAACCGAGATAGATCTGTAAGAAATTCGGAAAAATTAACGAAGCGACTGGGACTCGAATTCGGAATCCCTTGTTCATGAATCATGACACTCAGTCTATACGAGTCAGTCTATAACAGCTTCATTAAGATCAACTCTCGAATCCTACCAGCTAGTCTTATGGCTTTTCATATTCCTATTTGGTCATTCTGATTAAAAAATTCACATTTGTTCTCGAATGTACTTCGTTCTTTACCGCACTCAGCGACGTCACGTTCAATTTATTTTCCAATTTCTAATGTTCCAAACAATGTTCCAATTTTGTGTCTCAACTTAACTTTCTCCTGATTCAACTTCTCATATTCATCGCACTTAGAACAGAGAGGCTAACCCATCTCCTTGAGCTCGATCAACTTCTACCATATCCTTGTTTGTTAATTTAAGCTCGGCATGAATCGTGTAAGAATCATCCATCCCGGACGAACTCCCAAATTATAGGAAATTTGGAAAAATTAACGAAGTAATTGGAATTTGAACTCGGAATCCTTTGTTTACAAATCGTGACTCGGTCTGCACGATCACAATAGCTTCGATAACAACTTCCGAATCCTACCAACTACTTAGCCTTACGGCTTTTTATATTCTTACGGATCTACGAAAAAAGAAATATGAAGTAATGTGGACTTGCATAAAAAAAAAAATTAAAAGAATTATTATTGCGATGTTGAAATTTTTAATTATAGCACAATCTATTGCGATCAAAAAACCATAGAGCCATAGAGCGATTTTTACCTCTGAGGTGTAGGGCTGACTGTAGGTGAAGAGCTTTCAAGAAGAAACGCAGGTGGTGGAGGAAGATTTTCCACCTCCTCGCACACATTCTCACTCCGGTCCTCATTAACGGAAGGGGGTGCTGTAATAACGGTGGATGTACGTCTCGTTGGCGGAGGTGGTCTACTCGTCTGCTGTGCCGATCCTCTGCGTGTGATTAAAACGGCCGCAGCGCCAGGTACAGTCCATGAATTTTCGTTTTGATTGTGAAGCGAATGAGAGTGTGGTAAAGTATTTTGACTTCCGTATCCACTGCTGGATTCCAAGCTGGATTCGGACGTTTGACTTCCGGCATCTTTTTCCGGGACTTCGCTCTGAACAACGGTATGACAAAGCGTAAGCAGCGATAAAAATATATTTGTTTTAAAATATTGTACATTTTATACTTTACTTCTTGTATGCACTCGTATACCTTATCAGTTCCTGGCGTTGTCAACGATGCCGGAGGGGGAGGCAATGGAAGCTGCATCTCTTGAGCACGACTAGCAGCTAGATTCGCCAACTCGTGCATGTTTACATACATCGGTTGCTGGAGCTGATGAGTCGCCAATTCTGCATCATAGAATCGTTATAATAATGAATCCTACATTAAAACGTAACTTACGTAGTGATGTTATACGAACCTTTTGCCAAATGAGCCGGAAGAGGTAATTTAGGTTTCCCCCGAGGACTCCCAGGTGGTTCATTCTTCACTGGGATCGTCGGTCGTTCTAGACTAGAACATCTATTCGGTATAGGCGGACGATTGCCACCGTTATTTCTTCGTAGCTGCACCCTGGACAGCTGCTGATTCGAGGAAGAACATGATGAGGAAGAGGAGACTGGTGAGGCAGGTTGGCTATGGCAGCAACTGCTACCGTCGCGATCCGGGGCTTGGAATGTGTAGACGCTAAGCGCCGGTCTCTGATGTCCCTTTTCGTACGCTAAAACAGATGAAGAATAAGTTACGATTGATTTTGTAAATCGAATCGCGTTTGTGCTCGTCCGCGTTTCAATGTAGGCTTACCAGAGGAAATGGTATGTGGTCGTTCGTTCACCGCGCCCGGATTTTGTCGGTCGTACTGAGCGGATGTTTCCTGCAAATCAGGCCAAGTTGAAGTTGTCACGGGTCGTGTTACAGTGCAACTGGTACTTTGATTATTTAGAGAAGACACATTCGATACCTAAAAATCACGAGCCGCCTCTTTAGCCGACCACCAGTGATATAAGGTATAACGTACAAAAATGCATTCCCGAAGTTAAACTACAAAATCCGTTTAAAACTGGAAACATAAGCAGATCTAGTAGCATAATCACTAGGCAGTGAAAGTTCGTGAAGTCTTACACCTTGAATCTTCTATCTTCTGCCAATGAAGATTTAACATTTGTGTACATTTGTGTACATTTCTTGGAACTTATTAATATTTAACTCTAGATTGTTGTAAAAACCGAATGTCCTTTTAAGGAATTCATCGTCGAAGAGGAGACTTTTGCCTTAACGTCCATCCTGAAGACTCATGTAACGTTACGCATTTTGTTAAACAACCTTACCTGATGCTCTGAAATCGGTTGATTGTACAATGTATCCTGAGACGTAAAACCAGAGTCACGGGAACTGCCACTAGTCAAGTGGCGCAGTGAGGCGATGCCGCTGATGCTGGCGGGCCTGACGCCAACTGGCTACAACGAGTATAACATCGACTACCACATACAATAAGCTCGGCGAGCAAAATTAGCAATTATACGCGATACGTGCAGTATGATTTACGTATACAACTACTAGGTGCATTGCAGCTGATGCACTAAAAACGGTGTTACCATGTCATGCGACGTGAAAAGAAATGTCTAACGGATCAGTCCGTAGAATAAAAAAGTGAAAAGAGACGAAACAAAAAAAAGGAAAAGGATACTGCCGTCGCGTAATTACCTGAGAAAGCGATCTGTGCCACGGGTGTCCAGACGGGCTCGGATGGCTTTTACAAGATCCACTACTGCTACTAGTTAGAGAACTGATCGAACACATAGAACTCTTCCTTGATCCAAGAGACAATGACGGGCTCGACGGTGGCGTAGCCAACGACCACTGAGTAACGTCGCAACCTTTTATGTCCGTTATTACCTGCTCGGATGCAGGCGGTAAGTGATGCGGCGATGCGGCGTGTCTTTGCAATTGATCGGAGACCTCTTGTAGATGCGTCAATTCCATTAGCATCGCTATTTCCTCATCCTAAATGGTTGATTATACATTATATGTATGTGCACACATCGCCATTGTACGTCGTTTAACGAAACTATATACGTGTATCTTTAAGAATGTCTACTAACGAGTACAGGTTTCAGGAATCGGGCAAGGAGACAGAATCGGCCTCTCTCTTCGAGAAGGGCCGCACGGACGGCTTTTCGTTCCGTTTCCTCTAAACTCAGTCTTTTCTCCTGGACAACCGCCGCTGATGACTCCAGCATCCTATTAAGTTCCACATCACCCGGACAAGTCCCATGGCTCTGAGACTGTCCTTGGACGTGTAAGTGAACTTGAACCTTTCGTGCTTTCTTCTTTTGTAAACGTAGAGTGTCGGTAGAGCGTTTCTTTAATTCCGCCCTTGCCTTTTTGAATTCTGAAAAAAACCAGTGAGACAGCGAGTTACAGACGGCATGATTCTTCTTGAAAATATAATTTATTAAACCACTGTAATAATCGTTAACCTTTGGCATGTTCTTTGTCTAAATTGATCAAAGACTTCTTCCAATCTTCCAATTTCTCTTGTAAAGGCAGTACCAAACAGTCCATAATGGCGCTTAAAAGAAGCAAATAATGAGTGTGAATGCAGAGAATGTTCGGAAATTAAAAGACTTAATTAAACTGCATGCAGGATACTTTGACATACCTAGTAAATGACTTCATACGAGTTTCTACCGCTTTATGTCTCAAACATATTCGTGTCAGTGCTGTTCCAATCTCCTTAGTTGCACCTTCATAACAAACAATGTCATTTTAATATTTCTTTGTTTTATTTTGTCCACTTAAGCATATTCGATATATATTTAATGATCCAAATTATATAAAAATTATTATTATCGATTAATTAATTAATTAGAACTCACCTCTGGCATTAGTCGCGGCATCTGCTATTTTCTGAAAAAGCCTCAAGATATGCGGAAATAGCCAAAATAGCAGCTCTGTAATAATTACATTCAAAATAAAATTCCTAAAATATTTTGAGTTGCAACTGAGTTGCAAATAATTAGAGCCCGACTGAAATTTTAATTTCGTTTTCAATTATGGCTAATTTCGGTAAAAAATTGAGGTTTCGGTCGAAATTGAAAGCGAGTTTTGCCGAAACTGATCAAATTATATTATATTCACAAATTTTAAGGTTACTGATCACAATTTGATAATATAAAATATTTATCAACATGAAATGTTTATTCTACTAATTTTGTCCAAAGACTTTAACAAATATTTTTATTTATGTTTTGAAATTTTATTAGTAAAAAAATTAATTTGTGATATTACAGATTCTGATAATGTGTAATTATTATTTCAATTAAATTACGGTATTTATAAAGGAGAAATATATGATGTACGTATTTTTGTACGCGTGTCTATACATATTCCTTTCCAGGATTTCCATAAAAATTTCCAGTTTTTGTCAAAACTAAAAAAAACTGTCGAACTCTATAGATAATTCCAGTTTTTATTTTATCAATAAAGTGAAATATAAAAAAAAAGAAAGTGATCTCTGAAAATAATATAAATATATACAATTAGATGTATTATTAAATAAATCTAAAGCACAGATTTTTCTCTTTGCTTCTATAAATTCACAATTATAAAATACAATATATTTGAAATTATGCAAATGTCTTCACCTCAAGCTCGCGTGTAACTTTGTAGCTTTTGAAATCAAATCTTCCCAAAGTGGTGCTCCATTCTATAAAAAAAAAAGAAACAGAATATTATTACACGCGCATATGAAAAATTCGAAATTGCATTTATTGACGTAATAATCTTAGTTTTCATAGCATTAGTCAAACAGCAATCTAAACCTATATATTAGCAATAGATAATGCAATCAAACACGCCCATATATTATCAGATATATAGTATACATAACACTAGTTTGTACAATATATTTCCCAACAGGATGTTATGATTCACAGGAGGAGAAATTAAATCATGGAAATAAAGTAGAATTAAAAACCTTTCTGCTGCTGCTTAGTAAAGCAAACGTTTTAAAGATTATACAAATAATCATATCCAAACATTTTATTTATTTTACTGCAAGAAATTATAGAAACTGTATAATATAAACAATGAAAAGTATCAATAGAATTGTCAGTGATTGTCTTGATATCATCTGCAGGCACAAGTGTTTTCTATTTCAAAACAAATACCGATAAAAAATAGACAATTTATGCAAAATACAAACTGTCACTTGTTTTTTTTTTGTCAAGAAACAATTTTGATTTGTTTTCCACAAATACCAGTTGCTCTACTTTTATTTAAAAATCCAATACACTATGTTATAGATCATAACATCAAATGTATAATATGAAATATTTGAAATATTGTTCCTTCCAAAACTAAGAATCTCCCGCGCGGATATGGATTATGGATTCGGAATAGATTCCGATCGAAGTTATTCCATTTTTCCTAAAAGACAATAGAAATCTAGGAAATAAACAAATTCCGATTGGAATCTATTCCAAACAATTCCATAATTATCCGCTTAATCTCGGCCGACATGTCCCGATGTCGGCCGAGGTTGAGCGAAGGAATTTCCAAAAGTAATAAAATTCCGAAGGAATGATTTCTCCCGCGAAAGAAATCATAACAGAAAAATAACAAAAACAAGAACACATTCAAAATTTTCGAGTAGAAAGGAGGAGGACTGAAATCGGAATAAGACATATGATAAAAGTAAGAATTTAAAAATCCCCGAGTTTAAAAATGCCAGGATGGATATATCCGGGATGATTTGACGCGAGAAAAATATTGAGCGCGCTCGGTCGAGCCTAATAGAAGCGGACGTTCATCACCTTCATGTCAGTGACGATCTGCTGGAACAAACCGCCCAACGCGCTGCACTCTCGCTCGATCGTCGCATCCATCCTTCTCGCTTTCCTGGACTGAGCTGGCTGGATCCGTGGAGAGGCTCGCGGCCTGGACGCGCGACGAGTTCACTTCGCGTCGTCGACGCGACGGACGTTGACGGAAACGACGCACCACCGCCAGCGGGGACGAGCGGCGCGGCCCGTCATTCTCGAGACGGAAAAGGGAAGTGAGGAGAGAGACAGAGGGAAAGGGAAAGAGAAAGAGAGAGAGAGGAGGGGGGGGGGGAGAGAAAGGGAAAGAGGACAGGCGAGGGAAAACGTCGAGGGTGACGGCGGCGAAGCGTGGACGCGTCCACGACGCGGATCCGTCGTCGTCGCGAGAGTAGACTTGACCAAACGGCAAGTGTACGTAGGGTGAACGTTCGTAACGCCTCCGCGTAAACACAACGCGGGGCGCGCAGCGTCACGCACGGCACGGCACGGCACGACGACGCGACACGACGCGATTTGTCGACTCTCGACGTTCGACGGAACGAACGCGAACAGTCGAGGCCCGCTCGTCCACCCGTTCGCCTATTTGCGCGCGCGAATCTGTGCTCTCGCGTTACGGTGGACCGTTGCCCCCTGCGTGAATGACCCCGTTCTAGAAATCGGGATCGATGTTATTCGGTATGCGCCATGGACGTAGGAATACGAGGACGGAGCCAGGGCCAAACTCAAATGTGCAAATGGCAGTCGAGAATTCTTGGTTGCGCATCCTTGGCTCTACCAGAGCGCGCCAGTATCACCGAAAAGTGATGTTTACTCTCATAAGAATAGAAAAATTCAATGTCTTTTCATCACCAATTTTGTTATCGTTTATCAGACTTCTCTTCATTTGTGTTTATCGCTTATGTTTAATAGAAGATAAAAGCTAAACTTCTATGAAAAGTTCGAACTATAGAAGACAAGAATTAAAAAATAAAATGTTATGCAAATATTTATATAAATTTCACCATACATACACATCTCACACACACACACACACACACACACACACATATAATATAAATAGTATATACATATATATATATATATATATATATAATATATACACATACACACACAATATATTTATATATATTTATATTATTAAGTATTAAACTAAAATTTTATTTTTGATGTAACTCATAAAATATATAATAGAATATTTATTTTTATCAAAAAACTTTCCCTAATTTGCTCTTAATTAAAAATTACAAGTAATATTTTTAAATGTCTATTTTTTTAAATTTTTATTTTCCTTTTTCATAATTTTATATTTGTTCAGTCTAATGTATATTCAAGTATTTATATAAATGATCATTCATATTAAAAATTCAAGATATCACATAAATTTATAAATAAATGTGCATGTTATGATGTAACACTATTAATATTATATTAAATGCAAAAAATTGCAATTTTTTTCTATAATTATTTCTGTGATAATAATTCGAATTATGGTAACTATAATTTTCTATGGAAATGTCCATATTCATGTCCATTTATGTTCATTCATATTTCATAACTGAACATAGATATAACTATTAAAAAATGATAGGAATATCATACAAACTTGGACATGTATAATTTTTTGTTTTTATAACATATATGAATTTTTTGGCATTTTTTTCAACAATATGAATAATAAAATACACATTGATTCTTTTCAGTTTGTAGATTATAATAAAATCTTGATTAATTCTTACAAGAAGTATTGATATACATTGATATATATATTCTGATTTTTATATATTACAAAATAATTTACATAATTAAAAATTTATGTAATTACAACTTTAATGTTATATATATTTTTCGTTATGAAGGCGGCCACAATCGTGCCACTTCTGCATGTGCGGATTCCGGCAACCACTTCTGATAATCCGACAGCAAAACTGAAATTAATTTCAGTTTAATTTCATTTAATGAAAAGAAATGTATCATTATTTATTCAAATATTATAAAAATCAGGATAGCCTTACATTTTTTATTTGAAGCCCAGACTTCTACAAGTTTATCTTTCGACATGACTCCCTGCGACTGTAACGTTTGGACTATTGCTTGAGTGCGGGGTATCAGCCTACGAATATTGATAGTATAATTGATATAATTTATTTAAAGAAATGAAATCAAGAGAAATAAAATAATATTATTTACTTGGCCCATGACTTAGTGATGCTACCGGGTGTCGTTAGCAGTGACGGAACAAACTGTTTCAGCTTAAGGCATACTTGACCTTCCAGAAAAAAATATGCGAACCACTTAATACCATTCACCGTCAACGGATGTTCTATATCCATTGGTGGTAATGCCCATCCGGCTGTTCCGAACGTACCAGATACACGACAAATAATATTTCCGGTTCCTTGATCATATCTACAAATGAAAATTGTGATTTATAATATTGATTATAATATAGGATATCTACTTCAAATATTGATAAAAAAATATTCTAAAAATTCCTGGATTTTTCAAATACTTTTATAAATTTTAGATTTTACTTCAAAATTTTCTTCCAGATAAAATTAAAAAATTTTTAAGTGCAATTTTGGAATGTTTATTTTATCGTGTGCGTTTTTTTTAAATGTTTTTTCCTAGTCACGAAGAAAAGTTTTTTAATATTTTGATATCATGCTTTAGCTCAATTCTAAAGAAACATTGAATTTTTTTACAAAAATTCGCAAGTTACATATCAATGTATATGCATACATCGTATTGATTATTAACTTGAATAATTGGCAAATTATCAATAGCTTGTATTATAAAAGTAAAATTATCAAAAATTTTTTTAAAAGGGATAAAATTTAAATTTAAAGATAAAATATCAAAAAATTCCTTGAATTGCAATAAAATTTTATCATATTTCTTGATTTTCAAGAGTAAAAGAAGTTTTCTGAGAATTCCTAGATTCTCTAGAAAATAGATACACTATATTCTTATTAATAGACGAAGAAAATCTTCTTCGTCTATTGATAAGTATAACGTAAGATTTCTTCTTTAATCTCTATTGATAAATATAACTTACGATAACAATTACGATAAAATACCTCGGCGGTGGATCAGTCAATGGTTCGCTGAGGTGGCACAACAGGGGCGCGAATTTCGGCAACCACTCGGGTTCTATTGCTGTGACACCTCGCATGTACATTTTATTCGTCTCATATACTTCTTGATAGACTACCCATTCTGGTTTAGTTCTTCGTAGAACACACGAGGAATGCATAAATACAGGTTCTTCCATTTTAGGTGTTCTAAAAAGTTATTTAAAATAAGTTGAAGAGATTGAATAACTTTTTACTGATATTTAATTAGCATACTTATAAGCGCGCTTCCACTTGGTCTTGTCCTGATCCTCTTTTATCTCGTCGGGCAAAACTTTCTTCGCGACTTGATCTGCCATACCCGCAAGTACTATTTGACGCAGTAATTTCGCTTCCGTATCGGTTGGTAGTGGCATTCTATAAAAATTCTTATTTTACAGATAAATATCTCAAAAATGTCATAACATACATACAATTAAATTTATCGAAACTGAATATTTCCTTTATTCCGAAGAGATTATTATTAAATTCTACATTGTCTTTTGATTTATGCAAAAATTTCAATTTAGAGCGGATTCAGCACAAAAGAAATGTTTAAAGAAATAAAGAAATTTGTACGCAAGAAATACATACTTTGGATCAATGACTAAATTTAGTTCTGGCACATTTAAATTAATTTCATTAGTGAGTTGGTGCCTAAGTTTCCTAATTTCGACCACGGCTTTGTGTCTCAAGCCATTTTCTTCGCAGAAAGACAACAGTCTTCCCTTTGATCCTGCGTACTCGGCAGTTCCGATGGCTCTTATCAAAACCATTGGATCGCCTAAGTATAAACAAAAATATATATCATTAATGTTTATTATAAAAATAATTTCGAAATTACGTACCGAGAAGTAAATTATTGCCAGTTCCGGCCCAGTAATGACGCTTTTGCAGCCATTTGCTCTTGGTTGAACCTTCCATGTCGAGTGCTTCTATCAGTACTTCTTGCACACTAAGAGCAGCCACCATGCAAATCGTGTACATGGACAAATTATACTGATGCGAAAGCGCCAGCATCTTGCCATAGCGCGGAGAAACCGGAAATGCGGCAATACTGCGTCCAAGTGGCGTCACTTTCATACAATACGTCTCTAAACAACAAATCATCGCTTTAAGACACAACTTTTAATAATATAAACATCGAGTGCTTCAATGTTACGACTAGAATATTGTTGAGATATTTGCAATACTTTTTAAATAACAATGAATATCCACGTTCGATTACCTTTCTGTTTCTTCGAAGGCTCTTCTAATGCTCCGAGTATCGTGAGCCGTTCTTCCGCGGATCTTAATTGCATGATATCTGGTGGCGTAGGAAATGGAAAATTCACAACTTTGTTTATATTCATCGCCTTCATCTGCAGCAGCAGGTCATCCACCGGTTTTCTTTGAATTTCCGACAGACTATATTCCTCGAAATCATTATTATATACAGCCGATGAATATAATCTATATAAAAAAAAAGTGTTATAATTTAGATATAGTGTAATAATTTAGATCCGCTTTTAATATAAAATTCCTAAGATAAAATTTTAATTTTTAAGAATTGACAGAGATTATAAATTTGGAAGGATTTTAATTAAGAGTTTTATTATATTAAAAATTTTATGTAAATCAAATAATTACCTGTAGCAATGACCAGGTCGAGTTCTACCGGCTCTGCCGGCACGTTGAGTCGCCGCTGCTTTGCTCACGTAGCTAATATGATATGTGCTTACACCCGTCACTTTATCGTACAACCTAGTTTTACAACATCCACTGTCCACAACATATCTGATGTTGGGAATCGTCAGTGAAGTTTCTGCAACATTGGTAGATACTACACACAAACGGCATCCTTCCGGTGGTGGTTCAAATACCTAGAATTATTGTTTAAAGAAAATTAATTATTTAAGGAAAATAAATTGTTAGTGAATTCACCATAAAAAAAATAAATCTATTTATTTTGTTAAAGTCATTGTTCATATATGGCAAATGTAATGTGCATTGTATATATTTACCTTGGCTTGTTCATGTCCAGGTAAAAGAGAATAAAGAGGTAAGACCCATAACGGCTGTGCGCTTGTCAGTCCCTTGAAATCAATAACATCTTCATCTTCATCCTCATCTTCATCTAAATTGTCTTCATCATCTTGTATATTAATTAAATCTTCATGTGTATCAACAGGATTTACTAAATAACTAAACATATATTTTTTTATGAAAAACTAGAAAAATATGAAAGATTAAAATAATTGCGATATGAATATACATACTCGTCGAGATTAATAGATGGGAGAATAACTTGTTTCTTTTGTCTTTGCTTATTACGACGTAATGCTTCTTTGTCATCGAAATTATCGTCAGAATCTTCTTTTTCGCCGTCTTCTCTGTTTGACGTTTCTTTCGAAGGAACTCCATCTTTCTCGGAATCTACTTTTTTTACTTGAAACTGCTTATTCTTTTTCAATGGAAACGCTTTGCGTAACTTACGCACAACCGTATGTACCTCTTGTTGACCTGTGACAAATAAATTATTAAGAATATGAAGATTTAACAACAAAATTAACAAATTATATAAAAAAATAAATTTTATAATTTTCTTACCTGTTAAAAAGATCAATATGCCACCTTCTGGAAGGCGTGTATGTATCTTTATTGTTTTTCGCAATGCTTCAGTGACATAATCCTTATTTGTTCTTCTATTGAAATGTATCTTTACAGAAAATTGTCGTGATTTGACTTCGATCACTGGTGGCTTTACTTTAAATAACCTCGTGTTTTCGACAAATTCCTTCACGGACAACGTAGCCGACATAATTATTAGTTTCAAAGGATTGCCGCGTTTATTACGAAGCGGGACAATCCTCGATAATAAGCCAATTAGAATATCTGTGTACACGCTGCGTTCGTGCGCCTCATCGAGTATAATCACGGAATATTTTGTCAATAGGAAATCCTGTTAAATAAAGAATGATTATTTAAATTGTTTGTATTATGATATTTAAAATATTTACTCTACTCTTACAAATAGATACTCACACTTTGAACTTCTTTCAGTAGCACACCGTCGGTCATAAACTTGATCTTCGTCTCTTCTGTTACATTTCCCTCAAAACGAATCAAATACGAGACCTCCTTTTCAGAGAGATTCAGTTCTTCAGCTACTCGCTTGCTCATCGACATCGCCGCCACTCTTCTTGGTTCAGTTATTCCGATCATTTTACTTTGAGCATATCCAGCCTCGTATAAAAATTGAGGAACTTGCGTTGTCTTTCCTATAATAGAATTGAATAGAAGAAAATACACATAAAAAAATCGTGCTTGACTGAATATTACCGTTATTATTATCCAGAAATGAAACAATGGTTCTGGCATCATATTTGTTAACTATTAATTTTACTCACCACTTCCTGTTTCTCCAGTAATTATGACTATAGGATTCTCATTTATTGTTTCAACTATGATCTGTTCCTCTCCAACAACAGGTAGTTTCAATCTGGCTGCTTGTATTTCGGGTTTTCTATTCACAGGTACAAAGACAGCAGGCGTACAGACTTTGGAAATAGTATTTTGTTGAATTTTTTTCATTGATTTTTCAGATTTCTCAGTTTTAGCTGAATTTGTTTCGTTTTCCATATCTTTCGCGAAATTCTTCTCATCTTTTATGAGATTCATCTCATCTTTCGTGAGATTCATCTCATCTTTTGCAAGATTCTTCTCATCTTTCATGAAATGCTTCTCATCTTGTGTTTCATTTATTTCAATGTTTTCATTTATCACATTAAGAGCAGCAGTACTATCAGAAACATACTTTTCATTTTTATCTTCATTGTCACTATTGTCTTCATCACTACTATCACTAGACTAAAAACAAATAAATTTAATAACTTGTATTATAGTTTTGCTTTCCATTATCACTTTAAACTTACTTCAAATCCAACTATATTTGGATCAGATTTAGTCTCGTCTTGTTTTGCATTATCCAAAATGGCTAATCTCCTTTTCTTACTCCCTTTAATAGAACTTATAGCTTTTATCGAATCATTTTCCTCTTCATCATTTATTTTATGCTTTAATTTTTCAATGGGTTTCTCAAGTTCTCGAAAATGACGCTTTAATCCCTTGTTTTGCAAGGATGTCAGACTTACGTATTGTTTCAGTTCAGCAGGAGATACTTGGACTTTTGCCAAATCTTCTAATAATGTTGCTCTCTACAAAATAGATATTATTTAAAAAATTTAAATCAACATTTTACATTAGATTATGATATAGAATAAAATTATTGATACCTGTAATTTTTTCTTCTTTCGCTCGACTACCTTTTCCAATAGTTTTCTACGTTTCTTTGACAAAAGTCGAGTAGTTGTTACTTTCTTATCTATGTTTTTTGTTTTTCTCTTCTGATTGGGCAAAACAAGTGCATTGCAACTGTCATAATCCTCAGTACGATGTTTGATATCTAATACAATCTGAAGAATATATTTAATAAGCAATATATTTAAAACAATTTTGATAAATGTTTTGCATATACATTATCATGACATACATAAATTATAACTACAAATAACTACTAGTACAAATAACTTATTATAAACAATCAAAATATATTTAATTACAATTAAACTTACTTCCTTGGTAGTAGAATCGTCAATTTTCACATTTGTAACAGCTCTCGACTTCCAATTAAAACGTTTTTTCTCCATTGTTAAAAATCAAAATATTCTAATCTCAAACTTTAACGAAGAAAACGTCATTCAATTCTTTCATTCAAAAAATGAGACTTAAAAAATGAAAACAATCATTTCGCACTGAAAAAGAATAATTAATTGTTAAAGAAAAATTTTTAGGTTAAGTTTTTAAAAAGCAACGTGAGTAGGAAACGTTTTCAGGTTAAGAAGTCTATCATGTTTACATCAAGAGATTAACAAAAAAATTTATTTGATTTAAATCTTTTTGTATAATAAATAGGTTAAGTAATGTAAATTGTTACCTAATATAAATTATTTAAATATTATTTAAATAATAAAACAATATCCTAATAAATCACGATCTGAAATGCCACTAATTCACGCTAATTTAAATTTCAAAATTAATCTCTGATTGATCAACGCAAGATTTCAAAAGTTAATCTACATCGATTAAAAAAAAAATCATTAGAAACTTAAGCTTGCTATAATTAATGATAATTGGACTTAATTACAGATCATCTCTCTCTGTTACGTTTTTACGTCTCGAATCTCGCGTCGCTTCGAAATTCTCCGGCAACGATTGCGCTCGAGTGATCTATTTTTTTTAACTGCACCATCTGTGTACTTTCTGCACTCCAAATAAAATAGGCACGCATCAGATGTCGGAGAAGAAAATAGAAAAAAAATTCAGAGTTCAGTTACAAGGAACAGATTGAAGAAGTCAAAATATTCGTGCATTCGCGCAGGAAAACGAAAGATTACAAATTTAGACAGTGTATTTAAAAGAAACCTCAAAATGTATTTAAAAGAAACATCAAAGCCACCATTAGTCATTGGTTGCTGAACATCAAAATCTGCGAGGAAAAATCGAGATCGTCGAGCATGGATTTACTGCGGCGAATTCGACCAGCGTGCAGACTCCTCGACAAACGTGTCATCATTATTATCCCCTTCTCATCGAGGTAACGCTGTTTCGCTTTCAGAACGTATCACTCGTCGGCAGTACGAGCGAGACAGCAACAACAACAACAACAAGGACGGTCAGTAGAAAATAATAAGCGACGGTCAGTAGAAAATAACAGCGATAACCGGCTGAGCAGAGAGAAGAGGCTTGCCATCGACGAGGCGACGATCCGAAGAATCGAGAAACTGGCGTTGGTCGGCTTCGAGTACGAACAGAGTAAGCGGGTGCTGGAGGAGGCGGTAGCGTTCGCTGAACGGCTGCGGACGGTCCACGTCGACAAGACGGTACGTCCGATGTACAGTACCCTGGAGAACGAGCACATCCGTCTGCGGGAGGACGTGGCGCGACACGACGTCGATCGGCGCGAGATACTGAGGAACGCCGCGGTGCTACAGGAGGAATACTTCGTTGCGCCGTTGACGACGAACAGGAAGACAGAGAGTGAGTGACAGAGTCGAGATGATGAATCTGGAGGCTGTGCTGAAGGTCGTCGGTCCACACTTCCTCGGTCTGTCCGAACGGATCTTCACGTACGGTCCTCAAGGCAAGCTACTAATGAAAAATCTCGAAGGGCACTGGTTCACGCATTGCGTCACGATGTCGCGTCACAATGTGTTTCCCTGCGACACGATTGCGGAAACGCTACAGCTGCTACAGAGCAGTTCGATGGATGATCCGCTGCCGTTCGCGCTCGCCACGCTCGCAACGTCGAAGACCGTGTGGAATGAATCTCTACTGCCAGCAGGCGGTAAAATATCATCTCACAAAACTGCCAGGGTCAATGTGTTTGTTGACGCGTTGGACTCGAAGAATCTGCTGCACAAGAAGCAGAGAGAGCGCAAGGTATGGTGGCGCAAACTCGCTCAGTGCCCCTCGAGATTTGTGCTGGCTGAGTCGAAGAAGGCCAGGAGCCTCGACGTGACGGAAATCGAGGCACGGTTTCCCTTCGGAAGCATCATCGTGGAAACGATCACCCATTATCCCAGCGTGCGCAAGCTGTATCCTCAGGTAACAGATTTTCTCAATAAAATGTTGGTTGTAATGAAAAATACAGAGATAGATAAGAGAGAATTATTTAAATGGGATATTTATTTACAGACTGAAAATAATAAAGATAATGCTGCGGACGTGCATATGGTCGAGCATGTCGCTTCCTTGGATTGGGGCTGTCTGGCGTTACTCTGCGACAGCCACATGTCGGACAAGTCAACTAGAGCGTATATTCATCCTAAATTATCTCCGTACAAAACCACGTTCCACATAGCAAGACAGGAGAATGAGACCGATTCGGATATAGAAGACTTGAATCGCTTTGTGCTATACTTAAGCAATGCGCTTAGGACGCGAGGAATTTCTACTATATTAACGAATACAGAACAAATCATAGAAATGTGCCTGATACCGTACGTCGTGTCGGTGGATAAGACTAGTCTTAAGAATGGCATTGTACATGTAAAAAATCGCTCGACGACTCTCGCAGAGGCGGTTCACATTACCGATTTGGTAAAGTATATTCATTCGCGCACCTCTTGAATAGCCGCGTCGATTACTAACGCAGTACTGGATTCTTCGACCAATGTTCACAAGATGCGTTGTTGCCATATAACTATAATTATTAACTATATTTATTACTGAAAGTTACAACGATATAAACCGTAAATATAAATGAAAATTGATCCTACGTTCTTTCTCTTGTTCTTTTTCTGTATTTTGTTGATTTTTATATTATGAATTTGAAAATAAACCCACCTCGATTTAGTAATGTACGTCTCTTGAAATGAAGTGTGAGAAAGTAACAAAAAGACAAATCTAGATCTCATCTGGAGAGGAGATGTGGCATGTGGCATCGCAGGAGAGATGATGCATGACAGAAGGGAAGAAGGAAGTGTATGGAAAGAGGGAAAACTGCTGCAAGACATTTCTTAACAGAAACGTACACTACATGCACATTTCACGAACGCGACCCAGGATTTGCCCGAATACCCAGGACTGCCCGAATTTATCTCGAATTGGCGATGCCACAGAGGCAGTCAAATGTTTCTCCAATACAAGAGGATAATACTCTTAATTGAAGCTAAGCAGGTAGTTGTAGCTTCTTGCCTTTGAGTACTTTGGTAATATAGAGGTAGAAAAAGTCACAGTAAAGAACTGTCTGCACCAATCCAGCAACTATAGCGATCAAGTCGTAGTGATCCTCGGCGTAATAACGGTAGACCCAATTGAACAGATACAGGCCTCTGTACGATCCCAATGCAAACAGATAATGGCTAGTGATGCTTTCTGCCTCGCCTGTTTTTGACACCAGGAACAATTGTGGTAATATCGCCACCGACTCTAGGTAGATGCTGAATGTCCACAAGACTTCCACAAAGGATAGTTCATGATTAATCAGCAACGCCAGTACAAACGCAGGTAGAATCAGGAATTCGATCCTATAACAAAGAAGACCCATCTATCATCATATTCTCAACTAAGAAAGGGGACAGCATCTTGACGAGCGATATCTCACCTGAACGTATCGTGATTATGATCATACGTAGCTTTGAACTTGACGTACATCAAGAAAATCGTAGCGAGAGACGTGGCGATGAACACAATCTTCATGAACGTATTGTACGCCGAGATGAATGTGGTAAACAGGTCTAGGTAACGGGTGGTGTAAACAATCGCGAAGAGAATCTGCGACTTGCCGCTGATACCTGCGAACAGTTGAAGCGTCGGTAATCGCCGTCGGCCGAGCGAAACGTCACCGGCATGCGTTCGTGACACATGAAACTTATCGCGTTATCGTGCGCGTTCCCAAGAGAAGCGAGCCGATCAAAGGCGGTACACTCACCGGCGCAGCTCCGCGTCTTCCATATCTTGAGAAGAAGTATGATAATGGCTAAGAGATGGGACAGGTCGCCCAGCAGTCGGAATATATTCATGTCTGCGGTCGCGGTGACGTGATTCTACGTAAAAAAATACCGCGGGAGAGATGGAGAGCCAGCTCGCGCAGCTCGCTCGACAGCGGCACACAAATATGACGTGGCTCTGGCTGTGGTTAAAGCAGATGGCCGACCTCACGAAATCAGATTGTAATCCGGTGTTGACATGCGATCCACCGGGGAGCGAGAGATACCCAGGGAGGGTGTTCGTAGGGAGGTGCAAAGTATGATTATTTTCCTTTATGATATCCCAGAAACTGGAGATTGTGCATGTGAATAGTTGGCAAATTTAGACATCTTTGAGTGAATCTAGGGATTTTTAAGCATATTACCAAGGAATTTGATTAAAAAGTATTGGGCGAGGCCCAATTGGACACATTGCCGATTGATCGGTGAAATAATAGATCTTTTGGGCTAGATAAGTGGCTCACTAAAAAATTCCTAGGCATCGGTCTAGCGGTGTGTTCGATTGAAAATTTACGCATCAGGGGATCGATTATGTAATTTTTCCCCTAGGACGGAAACGTGAAAAATGAAAAGTTTCACGTGAATTTACGATCATGAATGTACGATTTTGTGGGATCATGTAACTCTCTCAAACATGAAAATGTGAAATTTTTCACGTGAACTTTTTCTCCATGTAGCTTGGTGACGGAAAAGCGGAAATCTAGGGAATTAATAAATATGCTTCGGAATTAGAGAAGATTAGGGCTGAGTTAGGATTAAGTGTACGTAGTACATATACAATTGGTTATTAAAAGATGTATATAATACTGTACCAATAAAATAATTTTCATTAGCTAAACCCTATGAAACTATGTTTCATGATTTCACTTTCCATGCATTCACTATATACATAATCGCTGTACGTGAAAAGTTTCACGTGAAATGTCGAGGTGTGAAAAATGAAAAGTAAAAAGTGAAAAATGAAAAGTGAAAAATTTCACGTAAAGTTACATGATTGACCCTTAGGAATAATGAAAAAAAAATTACCTGCAGGTCTCTTTATAAAAAAAATAAAAATAAATAATTCGTTTCATATGTAACTAGATTTGCACTGCATAGAGTAATAAAGTACAGATATTTTTATTTATTGAAAATTTTTAAAAACTAAATTACAAAATTTGACTTTATAACAACTTTTATAGCTTTATAACAAATACGTAGACGGCCAGAGAATTAACCAATGTGATTGGTCAATTCTTTTTCCGTCCTTCAACTAATTTCTAGCCTCATGGACACAAGACTTTAAGTAATGATTACGTGCGCGACGGCTGACCAATCATCTTTGCGCTTGCTCCAAACTTGCCATACCTGATGACGCATCTAAAACCGATTCGCTCCTTGATTTGATCGTCAGTAGTGGGGGGGGTAGTCGTTTTAACGGCAAGAGAAACGTCGCGAAGTCGCGGCCGCCGCGGCGCAGAAGGCGTATGGAGAAGCTACTGTGAACCAAGGCAAAATGGCGACGTCCGACTCCAAGGCGCCTCTGCGGACAGTAAAACGCGTCCAATTCGGCATTCTTTCACCAGATGAAATAGTAAGCAGACCGTTTTGTCATTCTGCGATACTTGTGAAATAAAATTTTCGCAAGATCATGCCTGTCGACGATTTAAGTTTCGTGGTGCAATTTGATGCAAAACGTGCAGTATGCACATTCCATGTCGATCTTTGATGCATGATTAATGTTTACAAACATGTATATTTCTTCCGTCGAAATATTTCTCATAAGTGTCGTTCGGTTCGTTCATTTCTTTATTGGCTCCTCGCTAATTACATTTGTCGCTCGCAATATCTGAAATGCATGGGAAATTTGAATAAGATTGCACGTAAAGGCGGAGAAATAATATGCAATAAATTTTTACGTATAACTTCACTTTTTACTTTTTAATTTTCCCAAACATAACAATTTTGTAATTCTGAAAGTTGTAAGATATGCGACAAATGCAAGATATTCATCAATATATTATATAAAACTGTAAAATAATTCACGAAGTAATAGTACGTTTCTCAATTTCAACTCGGTTTCTGATGTCATACAATCAATATGGCTGCCGGAGTTTATGTCGAGTTTATATATCACCTATATAGCACTTTTATAAAATAAATTATTAAAATCTAGGAAAACACATTTTGAAAATGTTATAAAAAAATTATGAAATTGTACACGCAAATATGTATATTTGAAATGATTTTTTTGAAATGGCTATGAATTAAGTATAGAAAAAATCTGACTAGGAAGAAGATAATTATTTATGTTATATATGTTATTTTTTAGATATAAAATATATAATGTCAAAATATGTCAAAATATGTTGATCTGTTTAATTATTATTAAAGATTTCTGTTTAATTAAAATTTTTATATTTTTTATTTATTTTTAATTTAATGCATTATTTCTTGTATATGTGCAAATTAAATTTGAATTTTCTATAAAATGTAAGATGTAAAGGTATTAAAGATACATGCTTTTGATTTTGTAACAGCGTCGTATGTCAGTCACTGATGGCGGCATACGATTTCCAGAAACTATGGAAGGCGGCCGTCCTAAACTGGGCGGTCTCATGGACCCAAGACAAGGTGTTATTGACAGGAATTCCAGGTGTCAAACTTGTGCTGGCAACATGACAGAATGTCCTGGCCACTTCGGTCACATAGATCTAGCAAAACCAGTGTTTCATGTAGGATTTATCACAAAAACTATAAAGATATTGAGATGCGTCTGTTTCTACTGTTCTAAGCTGCTTGTTAATCCTGTAAGTAGTTATTTAGAGATACAAATATAATTGAAAAAATATTTATATTCAGAAATTTTTGCATTTTAATGTTATTGAATTAATTAGTTTGAATTAATTAGTATATATTTTTAAAAAATCTATGATTAAAAAAAATTGAATTTAAAATAACATATATTGTTAAGATCTTTAACATACAAAAATTGAGTACTATAACCGCTTACTTATTTTTATTGGAATATCTCGTATTTAACATAAATCTAAAATCTATATTCTCATTACAACGAAGTATTTAATGAGTGCTCACTGAACTGTTATGCTAAATGTCCATTGATAATAATCAGATTGTCTTATCTTCATGCTATTTTTAAAGATATCAAAGAGAGATAAAAAATTTCTCAGAATATTAACATTGAGATGCGTTTTCTTTTATTATTTTTAGCATAATCCAAAAATCAAAGAAATTGTCATGAAGACAAAGGGGCAGCCGCGAAAGCGACTTGCATTCGTTTATGATTTATGCAAAAGCAAAAACATTTGCGAAGGTGGAGATGAGATGGATATTAACAAGGAAAACGCGGAGAATCAGCCACAAGCGGACAGAAAACCAGGTCACGGTGGTTGTGGTAGATATCAGCCTAATCTTAGGCGATCCGGCTTGGATGTCACTGCAGAATGGAAACATGTGAATGAGGATTCGCAAGAGAAGAAGACCGTTCTCTCTGCTGAAAGAGCCTGGGAAATTCTGAAACACATCAGGGATGAAGAATCTTTCATCCTAGGCATGGATCCAAAATTTGCCCGACCGGATTGGATGATAGTTACTGTATTGCCAGTGCCGCCGTTGTCTGTCAGACCCGCAGTCATTATGTATGGCTCTGCCAAAAATCAAGACGATCTGACGCACAAACTAGCAGACATTATCAAATCGAACAACGAGTTGCTGCGAAACGAGCAGTCCGGCGCGGCGGCACACGTGATCACGGAGAATATAAAGATTCTGCAGTTTCACGTGGCCACTCTTGTTGACAACGACATGCCCGGAATGCCTCGAGCGATGCAAAAATCCGGCAAGCCACTCAAGGCGATCAAGGCTCGGCTGAAGGGAAAGGAGGGCAGAATTCGCGGAAATTTGATGGGTAAACGCGTGGACTTTTCCGCGCGTACCGTTATCACACCAGATCCGAATTTGCGCATTGATCAAGTTGGTGTGCCGCGCAGCATAGCCCAGAATTTGACATTCCCCGAGATCGTAACACCCTTCAACATCGATAAAATGCAGGTACTGGTCAGACGTGGCAACTCGCAATACCCTGGCGCGAAGTACATAGTACGCGACAATGGCGAGAGGATTGATTTGCGCTTTCATCCTAAATCTTCGGACTTGCATCTGCAATGTGGCTATCGAGTCGAGCGGCACATCCGCGACGGCGACCTTGTAATCTTCAATCGTCAGGTAAATTATTAAAGTCTAAAAAATTAGTTTTGAAAGTATTAGAGCATTATGAAAGTAAAAATTATGAAGTGAAATTATGAAGTACGTACAAATGTATATTTGAAATTATTTTTTTGAAATAACTATGAATTGATTTATGTATAGAAAATAACAGAATAGGAAGAAAATAATATCAATTTTATTTCTATAGCCGACCCTACACAAAATGAGTATGATGGGCCATCGTGTCAAGGTGCTGCCATGGAGCACATTTCGTATGAATTTGAGCTGCACGTCGCCATATAACGCCGATTTTGACGGAGACGAGATGAATTTGCACGCGCCTCAATCTATGGAGACCCGCGCGGAAGTAGAGAATATTCACGTGACCCCTCGACAGATCATCACGCCACAGGCGAATAAGCCTGTCATGGGAATTGTACAGGACACTCTGACGGCCGTAAGGAAGATGACAAAACGCGACGTGTTTATTGAAAAGGAACAGATGATGAATTTGCTCATGTTTCTGCCCAGTTGGGATGGCAAGATGCCGCAGCCATGTATTTTGAAGCCAAAACCATTATGGACCGGCAAGCAACTGTTCTCTCTTATCATCCCGGGTAACGTGAACATGATACGAACTCACAGCACACATCCCGACGAGGAAGATGACGGTCCATACAAGTGGATCTCGCCGGGTGACACCAAAGTAATGGTGGAACACGGAGAGCTCGTGATGGGTATTCTCTGCAAGAAGACCCTGGGTACATCCGCCGGTTCTTTGCTACATATCTGTATGCTCGAGCTGGGCCACGAGGTATGCGGACGTTTCTACGGCAACATTCAGACCGTCATCAATAACTGGCTATTACTCGAGGGTCACTCGATTGGTATCGGCGACACCATTGCCGATCCGCAAACATATCTAGAAATCCAGAAGGCAATCAAGAAGGCCAAGGAAGACGTGATAGAAGTAATACAGAAGGCGCACAATATGGAACTTGAACCGACGCCTGGCAACACCTTACGTCAGACTTTCGAGAATCAAGTGAACAGGATATTGAACGATGCTCGAGACAAGACTGGAGGCTCTGCCAAGAAATCCCTGACTGAATACAATAATTTGAAGGCCATGGTGGTGTCAGGCTCGAAGGGCTCCAACATAAACATCTCACAGGTTATTGCTTGTGTAGGCCAGCAGAACGTTGAGGGTAAACGTATACCCTTTGGCTTTCGTAAAAGAACCTTGCCACATTTCATCAAGGATGACTATGGGCCTGAGTCACGCGGTTTTGTCGAGAATTCATATCTCGCTGGTCTTACGCCATCCGAGTTCTACTTTCATGCGATGGGTGGTCGTGAAGGTCTCATCGATACCGCCGTGAAAACGGCTGAGACCGGTTATATCCAGCGTCGTTTGATAAAAGCTATGGAGTCAGTAATGGTACACTACGATGGTACTGTGCGTAATTCCGTCGGTCAACTGATTCAGCTGCGTTACGGAGAGGACGGTCTCTGCGGTGAGACTGTCGAGTTTCAGAATCTGCCGACGATCAAGGTGAGCAACAAGGCATTCGAGAAAAAGTTCAAGTTTGATCCTACCAATGAGCGATATCTGCGACGCATATTCAACGAGGACATCGTCCGGGAGATGATGGGTTCTGGCGAAGTGATTTCTGAGTTGGAAAGAGAGTGGGAGCAATTGAACAGAGACCGCGCTGTACTCCGCGAGATCTTCCCGAGCGGCGAGTCTAAAGTCGTACTACCATGCAATCTACAGAGGATGATTTGGAATGTGCAGAAAATATTCCACATCAATAAACGAGCACCGACTGATCTCAGTCCCATGAGAGTGATTCAAGGCGTGAAGAATCTTCTGGAGAAGTGCATCATCGTCGCCGGAGACGACAAACTAAGCAAACAGGCGAATGAGAATGCGACATTATTATTCCAGTGTCTGGTAAGATCAACTTTGTGTACCAAGTGCGTTTCTGAGGAGTTCAGGCTGTCCAGCGAAGCCTTCGAGTGGCTGATCGGTGAAATTGAGACGAGATTCCAGCAAGCCCAAGTGTCGCCCGGTGAGATGGTCGGCGCATTGGCGGCCCAATCTCTTGGCGAGCCCGCCACTCAGATGACCCTAAACACTTTCCACTTCGCCGGTGTGTCATCGAAAAACGTGACTCTCGGCGTGCCTAGATTAAAGGAAATTATTAACATTAGCAAAAAACCAAAGGCACCATCACTTACTGTGTTTTTGACCGGTGCGGCTGCGCGCGATGCCGAGAAGGCGAAGAATGTGCTTTGCCGACTCGAGCACACAACCCTGAAGAAGGTGACGGCCAACACAGCGATATACTATGATCCAGATCCTCAGAACACAGTAATCGCGGAGGATCAGGAGTTCGTCAATGTATACTACGAGATGCCGGACTTTGATCCCACGAAGATATCACCCTGGCTGCTGCGTATCGAACTGGACAGAAAGCGAATGACCGACAAGAAACTGACAATGGAGCAGATCGCGGAGAAGATCAACGCTGGCTTTGGGGATGATCTGAACTGCATATTCAATGACGACAATGCTGAGAAATTAGTGCTGCGAATCAGAATAATGAACAGCGATGATAACAAGTTCCAGGACACAGATGAAGAAACTGTGGACAAGATGGAAGACGATATGTTTTTGCGATGCATCGAAGCCAATATGCTTAGCGACATGACTCTGCAGGTATGTTGCGATGAGATATGGTAAACGCTGGTTACATTAATCTTTGTTTAGTTGCCGTTGTTAATCAGCTTAATGCAGATGCAAAGAGAAAATGTTTTTGTTGAATATTTTAGGGTATCGAAGCTATCGGTAAGGTTTATATGCATTTGCCACAAACGGATTCCAAGAAACGCATCGTCATCACGGAAACGGGCGAGTTCAAAGCCATTGCAGAGTGGCTCTTAGAAACCGACGGAACAAGTCTGATGAAAGTGTTGAGCGAGAGAGACGTGGATCCTGTGCGCACGTTCAGCAACGACATTTGCGAGATATTCCAAGTGCTCGGTATCGAAGCTGTCCGAAAGTCGGTAGAGAAAGAAATGAATGCAGTATTGCAATTCTATGGCCTTTACGTGAATTATCGACACCTCGCTTTACTTTGCGACGTTATGACAGCAAAGGGTCATCTTATGGCGATAACACGTCACGGAATTAATAGACAAGATACCGGTGCCTTGATGAGGTTCGTAAGCCGCAAGTCTCACCTTTTATCAAAATCTTTGAAAAATGCATGTATATTATGCGATAAAATAGAAAATCCTCGATGAAAAGTTAATGAGAAATTAAATTGCTTTAGGTGTTCCTTTGAAGAAACGGTTGACGTATTATTGGATGCTGCATCTCACGCGGAGGTGGATCCGATGAGGGGAGTATCTGAAAATATTATAATGGGACAACTTCCTCGTATTGGAACAGGTAATGATACACTTTATATACACGATGATATACGAAGCATTGTGAAACTTACATTTTACTTCTATTCGCAAATCTTTTTGCTGATGTGAGAAATGTAAATTGCATAATGTGATAATTATTGTCGATACTCGATATTGTATGCGTATAATCATGATATGATATTGTGTTTAGGATGCTTTGATTTATTATTGGATGCTGAAAAATGCAAATCTGGCATCGAAATTCCTATGGCAGTTGGCGCAGGTATGATGGGAACGGCGGGAATGTTCTTTGGCAGTGTAACCGGTATGTCTAGCATGAGTCCTCAGATGACTCCATGGATGGGAGCTACACCTGGTTATGGCGCATCAAGTGTGTCACCAGGTAAGTTTAAAAGAAAAAAAATTTTTAAACAAAATATTTAAAAAATGTTTTCTATCTTTATTTTTTGCAAAATGTATATCGAACAATGTTAACAATAATTTTACAGCTTTGAGTAGCGGTATGACGCCAGGTGGTGCATGCTTCTCGCCATCAGGTGCATCAGATGCATCAGGCTTATCGCCAGCATATTCGGCTTATTCACCGCAACCGGGAAGTCCTGGTAGTCCGGGCCCGAGTATGAGTCCATTCCCATTGTCACCGGCGGGCGCAGCATCGCCCAGTTATTCACCTACATCGCCGGCATACCTGCCTACATCCCCCAGTATGACACCTTCGAGTCCGAACTACTCACCTACGAGTCCAACGTATTCACCGACAAGTCCAAATTATTCGCCTACATCACCAAGCTATTCGCCAACGAGTCCAAGCTATTCACCGACATCACCAAGTTATTCACCGACAAGTCCAAGTTATTCGCCCACTTCTCCGAGTTATTCACCAACGAGTCCAAGTTACTCGCCCACTTCGCCGAGCTATTCGCCAACTAGTCCGAGCTATTCGCCCACATCGCCAAGTTATTCACCAACTTCACCAAGTTATTCACCGACGAGTCCAAGTTATTCGCCAACCTCACCGAGTTATTCCCCAACAAGTCCTAGCTACTCGCCCACGAGTCCAAGCTATTCGCCCACGAGCCCGAGTTATTCACCGACTTCGCCGAGCTATTCACCCAGCTCGCCCAACTACACACCTGCTTCGCCCTCATATTCGCCCACTTCGCCCAGTTATTCACCTAGTTCACCGCAATATTCACCCGCCAGTCCAAGCTATTCTCCTAGCAGTCCCAAATATTCTCCAACAAGCCCGAGTTATTCCCCCACCTCACCGTCATTCCCCGGTACATCGCCACAATATACACCTGCGAGTCCCACGTACTCGCCAACCAGCCCGACATATTCGCCCACAAGTCCGTCGTATTCG